CATTCATTATGCATAAACTGAAAAACTCACAGGTAAAGGCAGAGGTACTGCACCCTAGACTAAGTTCCTTCCAGAGAGCATAACCTGCATGGCATCATGAGTAGAAATCGACCCTGAAAGTCACTTTAGACATGGAGAGATAAGAATGGTGGTGTCAGGTACTAGAAGACTAGCTGTGTTTTTCAAAACTCAAGATTTTTTTTTTCAACCCTATTAGTGCTCCCTATCCTCTGTGTGCGTCTGTGGGGGTGTCAGGGGGACAGTTCCATGTAGCCATGACTAGCTATAACTCTATGTAGCTGAGGATGACTTGGACTGGACCTCTAAACCTCTGATCTTCCTGCCTCACTTGTATTCCACTTTTGGCCTACACCACCATGATCGTATTTGTTCTGATTCTTAATATTGTTAGGTGATTGTTAGAAGAGTAGCCACATATTTCTGGAATCAGACCTTCACATTCGTCACTGTCGTAATGCCTCCGTTTGTGCCTTTGTGGCCGAGGCCCTAGCAAAGACCCATAGCATTCTGTTGTTCTTGTTTAGTGTTCGTCATAAACATCTCAATTGATCAGACGTGTCTGTGTTCTTTCAAAGAAACATTAAAACGAGAATAATTATATTCATTCTTTTCTCTGTATTTATACACAAATGATGGGTTCAAGACAGGCTTTCTCCGTGTAGTTCTGGTTGTCCTGAAACTCACTCTTGTACACCAGCCTGGCCTTGAACTCAGAGATCTGCTTGCCTCTGTCTCTGGAGTACTGGAGCCCTGAACACTACCATGCTGACCTATATCTTTTTGATGTATTATTCATTTGTTTGTTTATTTATTTATTACTGTTTGTTGTTGTTTGCTTTGTCCTTTTATGTTTTGGGTCACACACAAATTATCTCAGATGCGTTCTCATATTCTTTATTATTTAAAAAATGTAAGAATGGGGGCCAGAGAGATGTCCCAGCAGTTATAAGCACTGGCTGCTTTCCCAGAGGACCCTGGTTCAATTCCTGGCACCCACATGGCAGCTCACAACTGTCCTGTAACTCCATTTCTAAGGGCTCTGACACCCTTGCACAGGCATTCATGGAGGTCAAACACTAATGTACATATACATATACAATATACATATACATGTAACATACAAATACATATTTTAAAAGAATGATAGTGTGCTGTGTTTATCTAATGCTACTTAATCAGACCTTTATTCATGAATTTGGAGCTGTTTTCAAACATTCCCAGAGGTTTTTTTTTAAACCTTTGTTTTCTTTGCAATTTTCTTATGTCTAAGTATAAGAATTTATGCAAATTTCTTATGTCTAAGTGGTCATAAATGAGATCAAGGATTCTGGGTGCAGGTGACAATGGAGTCTGCTTCCACCACTCACTTCATATATAACCTTGGGCCACTCATTCCCCTTCTGTGTCCTTCGTCGCCCATCCCTAGGAACTTTGGGTTAGTGCAGAGATTCAGTGAGCCTCCATATGTGATCCCAATTGCTGCTAGTTCTCAGTCTCCTTGTCCCAGATACCTAGGTCAAAAATAAAGAACAATCTTGGTGATTCCTTTTTTTTAAAAAAAAGACAGGGATTCATATAGCAAGCAACATCCCTGTCTAAAAGATAGCATAGCCCACATATGCAATTTTACGTTTCAAGTAACTAAGACGATAAAAAATGAAACTGAAAAGCAAACATCTAAAATGTTCCTGCAGCTCACAGTCAATATAGAAACCTAATGGTATTTTCATCCTCTCTGTTCTATGCTGTCTTTGAGATCTTACAGCTTCTGTATTCACAGCACGAGCCATTTGGACTAGCCACATTTCAGACGTTCATAGCTGCATGGGCTATTAGCTACTGTATTGTATGGTGTGGGTCTAGTGCCTATTGTCGTGCGCCTGTTGTTGGTTGTAACTGAGCAAAGTGAAACTCCATCTTTTATGTTACAGACGTCTGTGTTTGACTTCTGTTTACTGTAAATTGGGCTCCAGGTGCAAACCAAAGAAACTGACAACAAACTAATGATTTTTATCTGCCAGAGATGCAGATACCTCTCTAGCAGGTGAGCAGGGTGGTTCCAAAGGTCGTGGTATAGCTGTCCCGTTGGACACTGAATTCATTGTCTATAGTGCAGCAAAATACCTTAGGACTTAGTACATTAAAGCACCTGTAAATGTTTGCATCTTTCGTGGTTTGTGTGGATCAGGGGGTCCATGAAAGGTGCCTGAGTTCTTGGAGAAAGTGAACAGTTGTCCCATGTTGAGTAGCCGTTTGTTTTCTCGTGAGATGTCAAGTGTTGTGTTCTCCCCAGCCCAAAGCATAAACTCGAGTGTGCTCTGCCTTCTCGTGCTGTTTTAATTTTAAACATTTTTCCAAAACACAAGGGAGAGGGATGAATATCACCTGTTCTGTTTGTTGGTTTGTTAAATAGCACAGCACTGAATCCATGTCTGCCGTAGCAACTTCTGCCCACACCCTCCTGCAAGGCCTCCTGAGCGATGCTGACTTGTAGCCGGCTCCTCCACTGGGCTTGAGATTGAAGAACCGTGTTTTGCTTTATGTTCATTGCTACTTTTAAACTGGTTTATAATAAAGATAATTTATTATTATAAAAATATAATGTATATTTAGATATAATATATAAAAATACAATAAATAAAGATATTTATTTAAAAGTTTCCCCTGAAATTTTTTAGAACTAGAAATGTCTAAAAAAGTTTTTTAAATGTTTTATCTGGAGTCAATATTTTTTAAAAAATCTTGTTATATTGCATTATCATACTATGCAATAGAAACTTAAATAAAAAGACTATTTTAAAGTACTTTTTCCGGGGGCTGGAGAGATGGCTCAGTGGTTAAGAGCATTGCCTGCTCTTCCAAAGGTCTTGAGTTCAATTCCCAGCAACCATATGGAGGCTCACAACCATCTGTAATGAGATCTGGTGCCCTCTCTGGCCTGCAGGCACACATGTAGGCAGATATTGTATGCATAATAAATGAATAAATATTTTTAAAAAAAAAGTACTTTTTCCCCAGGCACACCAAACTCCTTGGTAGTCTTAGGTGTGGGAAAACACCGCCACCTTGCTGGTTTTATTACTAGTCTACAGGCTCCTCCTAAAAGTATTTGCCCACATAACCATGAAGTTGCTACCACAGTCAAGTGAATTGGGCTTCACTCACTGTTATCATGTGTAACATATAGTTCACAGTTCAACTTTCCTCCTTACCATCGAAAAACCGATTTATTTCATGTTTGACACAGAATATAACCATGGTCCCTAGCATTGCATTCGGATATGGCGTTTGATCAGAACTCCCCCCAACCTTAGATTTTATAGTGTTTTGTTTTTAAAGTGCTCAGTCCGGTTGCTAATTGAAATGCCTAGGTGATGTTTCCCCTGTGCTCCCCCAGATGAACGCCTGACACTTCCATTCTCAGTGGACACAAATTCCATGTGACAGCCGCTGAGACTAGGGGACCAGACGCAGGAACTGTTTGCACCCTTGTGCCCCCAGCTCCACCCAGCTGAGTCTGCTGCAACCAGAAGAAACCTACGTCCGGGGAAGCCTTGAAAAGGAAGTCAGTTCCTGTGCTTTCTTTACCTTCTCCCGGTCTAAAGCCCAGCCCGGTTGTCAGTGCATGGCGCTCTTTCATTGAAAGCTAGTTCCTCTTTTCCTCCTGTCTCACTGTAAAAAGCTAATCTTTTTTAGCCTTTTAAACATATTTATGCTTTGGCCTATTTACATGTGCACAAGAAATAGATATTTTTCCTCTAACCTAATTCATATTTTACACATTCAGTTCCTTCACCTTGACCACCTAATTTCAAATAGGAAGAAGAGACAAGTGTTTGACCAGAAGGAGGAGGAGATGATTCTCATCATATGATATTTAAGCATTTTCCTTTATATTTCTTCTTAAAGTGACTTTTGATACAAATTTGAATTAGTTGCTCTCCGAAGTCACTGAAAGTGATGAAATGTCTTTTTTTTTTTGCATGAAGAAACTGAATAGATGTATCTATAGATGTCTCTGACATGTCCTAGATCCCGTGACTATAGACAGTTGAGAAGAGGGTCTAAGTTCAGTGTAAGTTGCATTCCAAAGGTATGCTCTAGAAATAGTTTGATAAGTTTTATCTTGGTCAATCCAGAATCTTTCTGTCATTAGTTTTGACAAACATACTGTGATTCTTTGAGAACTTACGAGCTTCCTGCCCCAGTTAACAGTTTGGTGTTCTTATCCCAGGAGTCTGCCCTCATTTCTGACAGCAAAGCTCTTAGACATTCCAAAGGAATGGAAGACATTCCAAAGGACTTCTATGGAAGTCTGGAGACATTGCTAGGGAGGCAATCTTCAACAAAAAGCTTCAAATGCCAATTGCAGCTGCTCTGAATTAAGCAGATGAATGAAGAATCAATGGAAATAGCTAATATGCCCTGACCTACCTAATTCACTGTGAAGACTTTTAAAGGGAATAGTGATAAGGTACTATGTAGTACTCTCAAGTGTGGGGCCAACCTGGGCTACCTAGAAAATTATAAGTCATCCTTGTCTACACGGCAGCTCCAGTTCCAGGGGATCCAGCACCCTCTTCTGGCCTCTGTGGGCACTGCATGCATGTGGTACACTTGCACACATGTATGTAAAACACACATAAAATAAAACTTTTCTTTAAAAAGAAGAAAATCAAGGTGACAATCTACTATAAAAACGAGGTCTGGAGGAAGAAACATCTTTGTTTTTCTTTGCCATGGGCTTGTCTGTTTTATTGACTCTGGGAAATTGATGAAGTCATCATTAAAGTCACTATTGATTGTAAGTCAATGGTATAATCAGAATTGTGAAGCAGTTCTTTATGGACTACAGTTCCTCTTCAGTGCACTAATAGCCTTCATGTTTGCACAGTGCACAGGCATACACAGGCTATATACACACATCATACAACACACGGAGTATTTTTTTTTTGCTTGTGTTTATTTTTCATTAAAGGTACATTTTGTTTCCTTATCAAGGGAAGACTGGAAATACAAAATTCCTTATGTATATGAAAACTCTTAAATATCCAAGCCAAACGGCAAGTGAAATAACTCCCCTGAAAAAAAATATAAAAAGTCCAACCTTCTTTAACGGGGTTCTTTCTGATCTTTTCTCCAGAAGGGTTTCCTGTACTCAGTTACCATTTTCTGTTTTTAATTTGCTAACACGTATTTAGCTGCATTTATGACTAGTAACAGATAGTGTATATACACAGACCCAACAGCACTGCCCTCTGAGGTGCTTGACACTGTTAAGTGAGTTTCTTTCTAGCTTAATCTCAGCTCCTATTAATGACTTGACTTACTCTTCAGTATTCCCGGTCCGAATCATTTCCCATTCCAGAGCCTTTGGCGCACAGTACATCAGCTCTGCCAAAGGTTGAAGACCCTGGAAGCGGGGCTGGAGAGATAGTTCAGTAGTTAAGAGCACTGACCGCTCTTCCAGAGGACCCGGGCTCAATTCCCAGCACCCGCACGGTACCTAAAGATACCAGAACCACTTAGCTTTCACGTTCTTATGCCCTCAGTCTCTAAGAATCAGAGCAGAACCACCAGTTAGTTTTTACATTAGATACAACACAGTAGCCCTCAAATGTGGACCAGGGCACTTCTGTGGAAGACTGGTCAGTGGGCATCAGATGGTCCCTCAGTGTCAGACTCAATCACCTCAATTTTTCTTTCATTTATATTTTTATTTTTCTTAGACAGACTCTTGCTAAGTTTCCTAGGCTGACCTCAGACTTGAGGGTCCTCCTACCCTTGCCCCAAGTGGAAAGACAGAGGTGTGCAACCCCAGCCCAGCTTTGTCTCCATCTCTGAGCATCAAGAATCACTATCATAAGATACACACCCAAAGGAAGACATCTAAATTATTAATATTTTAAAATCATTACTGGAATATCAATCCATAGTTGAGGCTTATGGTAACTTTTCTTTCTGTGAATATTCTTTTAACTGTGGATGAGAATTTATTAGGAAGAAATTAAGTGACCTTTTGCATCCTGAAGTTATCTAAAACAGAAATCTTCGTTACTTTTGGCTTTCCAAATTGGTTGTTCTCCTTTTCACCTAGAAATCCAGTGTGATTTGTTTGCTTGTTTTTTGTTGGTTGGTTTTTCTTTTCTACTAAATTTTATCCCTTGGAATTTGATTTGATTTCATAATTAACAATCTGTTTTGGGAATCCTCAGAAAGATTGGGAACACAATTAGGTATCCAGGCATATAATTTTTTTTCCACTGTAGCTAGTATGACTACTAGGGGAGCCTGGGGGCTGTGATTCTCCTTAGTGAGGCAGGATTGGTGAGACCTAGGCAATACACACATGTGGCATTACACACCACAGTCACTGTGTGGTAAGACACTCAAAACAGCTCACAGCTAATTAGCATCAGAGGAATCACTGCTTTCCAGAGTCTGAAGAACGCCTTTGTCCCTCAGCGAAACTTCAAGTCCCAGTCCCATCTAAAAGGCACATAAAAGGAGCTCAGTCTCAATGCCTTATGAAACACCCCTACACACATGCACACACACACACACACACACACACACACAGACACACACACACACACACATCAATTTATAAAAATAACATTATCCCAAAGGGCCAAGTTTTGAATTTAGAGAATGGTATCACACACATGCGCTGGAGCTTGCCTTCCCTGTGTACAAACGGCTCTAGAGAGGTGTGAGAAACTGCCCACTACATAACAGTGTGTGTGGCATCTCAGCAGGGGCAGAGTGAGGGAAATAAATAGTTCAGAGTCGGGATAAATCCTCTGTCCTGTAGTCCAGTCATGGAGATCCCAGGATGACACGAGGCCGTGAACATGTGCACATCTCTTTTCCAGACCGCTCCCAGAGCTGGAAACGCTTCCCGCAGCTTTTCTTTTCCCCAAAGCTGACGTGATTGCCTTTAGTATCCCCAGCTTCATCTCAGCCATCCTGCAAGACAAACCAAAGCCTGTTGCATAGTTGGGTCCCATTTAACAAAAGCAGAGTGCTCCTAAACGCTGTTTTCCAGGCGACTGTGAGGGAAGACCTCAATGACCAGTCCTCGTAGTTTCCATATCTAGGAGGGAATTAAAAGATCATAGAGCCAAACAGGGCCTGAGCCTGTGGTCCCCGCTACCTTAGAATCAGAGGAGCATCCCTTGAGCCCAGGAGTTGGAGGCTAGTCCCATGCAACCTAGTGTGTGTGACTCCATGTTTACAAAAATAAATTTAAAAACAAAAACAAGACGAAACAATAGAAGGTATCAGAAAGATGGGTCAGTGTTTCAAAGTGCTTGCTGCACAATCGTGAGAAGTAGAACTTGAAATTTAGCACCCCTGAATCTAGCTAGATGTCCTGGCCAGCCCTGTAACTGCAGCTCTGAGATGGTGGCGGAAGAGATGAGAAGACTGGACTGCTGGAGCCACCTAGCTTCCGGCCTAGCAGAGGAAAACGTGACCTCCAGATTCAGAGACAGACCCTCAAATAAAATAGAAAAACATTAGAATGAAAAGGAGAGAGGAGAGGGAGAGAGGGGAAGCCACCTAACACCCATCGCTGACCTCCGCGCCTGCACCTAGGCACATGTGCACAGGCGCACATATTAATACACACATGAAATACTCAGATACAAGCAAATGAATCCTAAAGAGAACAGATCGTCCACCTGGCACATGGACGTCTTACTCTATGATCCTAGAGTTCATATACAGTACACGAGGTGTCCCCATAGGGTGTTACACAAAACATTCGTCCCGCCTTTTAAATGCTCCTTGTTTGAATGTTTCCATCTCAGAAATTATTTCTATAACATATAGAAGGGTACTTAGAAAATTTAGGTACATACATATGTATATGTCTGACTTTCTATAGGTACAGTGTATATTCATACATACATATTCATACAGTGTGAATTTGTCTTACCAATAATTGCATTACTTTACAGATTAGGCATATTTGATGTCCCCAAATCTATTTTCTTAATACACCGTAGACTGTTGACTATTGAATTATCTCCCTCTTGAATCGATTTATAATTTCAGCAGATTCTAACATTCTATGTGCATGCCAGTTTATTGAGGGCGACCCGAATGTGACTCTTGGGTGACAGAGCCCACTTTATAGAATCTTTCAGCCTTCACATCTCGGATTACCACCTCCTCTTTTTTCTGCAATACCATTAAGTGCCTCTGTTTTAGCACAGGCAAGAATCTAATTCTCTGTTCACAAGTCTTCCCTGAGTTTGAGCCTAACTCTGGCTTGGCAAAGGAAGCTAATGTGTAGTGCACTGGTCTTTGAACATATGCAACAGTTACGGGTCCCTGATGCACCATAGAAATATAGACATGACCTCCTCACATTGCAGAATTCTATTGTCATTTTCTGCAAGGTAAAACAGACCCAAGGGGTGAGAAATCATCATTCTGGAGTCCAATAACTAGCTAGTAGCTCTCAAAGGGATGCATCTCGATTTCCAATCATACTGCTTTGGAAGTCATGAGCTATTGTCCAGAGCCACCATGCCCATATCAGCAGCCTCAGCCTCCTCCTTTCTGATGCTAGGTGTGGTTTCACAGCACTGACCTCACCATCCTGTTTGGCTTCATCTTGCCCTTCATCCTGATCCGGTTCAAATGCAGTGCCTCGGTCTACAACATCCACACCAGCCTGTGCCACGGGCTTCTCGTTTTCCCACTTGGCAAAGCCTTTGTCCTTAGCTGCTTTGTCATGGAACTTGGATTTCATTTTGGGGAATGTGTGGGACCCCGAGTCTCCCCAGCCAGCCTCTGACCACACAGGTTCTGTCTGCGTAGCTTGACTAGTGGTGGCTCGCTGTAGCCTCACGGAGATTTTACGAGAAGAGCCCGTGACCAGTGTGATGGCTCTGCTGTCCAAGTCCCGGTGTCCAGCAGTGACCCCAGGAAACTCAAACACTTCATCCTGCACTAGAAGGAAGAGGAGAGTGATTGTTACCTCACGTCAGTCTGGGCAGTAGCAAGCCATCACCGTTAGTACAGATGCCAGGAATCTAATATGCAAGGTCTCAGAGGAACCGGCGCAGGCTAGAATTAAAGTACCAGCACGTGAGCATGTTAGTGAGTTCACCAAAAAAGCCAAAGAATTAAGGGGTTAGTTAGCATTCCGAGAACTCTAAGAAAGTAACTAGCCTCGCTGCTTCTAGGACTCAGACCTAGGTAGACACAGAACACAGAGGACAGGTGTGGAGAGACACCGTGGCAGTGAAGAACACAGAGGGGCTTACCTGGGGGCAAGGCTGGGCTTCCAGGCAGTGACCCAGGATTGCTGCCCAGCGAAGGTGCCCGGGCAAGTCTCCTGCAGGCCAGAACCAGGAGGTCTTTGCACTGTTTGTGACAGTTGGCTCCACAGTCTGAAAAGATCCCGAAGGTGGCACAGGTAAGTGTGAAGCAGGCATGCGTGTCTGACCCTCCCCTCCCCCACATCTGGATTTCAGGGAAGTTTAGAGCCTTCTTCCAGCATGCATTAACCCTTCGGCTTCTATTGTCCCACGAGACCCAAGTTCTCCATCCGGCCAAGAGAGCATGTGTGGTTTAACCCGACAGATTTGTTTCCTACCCCAAATGTCCGCGTCTTAACAGGTATTACCTTTGCATTTGTAGCCTTGTTTGATTATGCCCCAGAGCTGAAACAGAAGACAAAGGAATGTCAGGACATGGGTAGAGAAGCATAGAAAGAAAACAAAGCCACGGAGAAGGAAGCCCTGGGAAGTTCGGTGACTGGCAGCTCACAAACAGGATGTAGCTGCTCTGGACACCCTTCCTGTGGAAGAGGAGCCTTCTCCCAGCCCCCTTCAGCTGTGGTGACAGTTTCCCTTTTCTTTCTCAGAGCCAACTGGTAGCTGGCATGGAAAATTAGAGTTAGTAAGTTGATATGGTGTTTAGATGTCAGCGACTCTGAAGCCACATGTAGTAGGGGACGATCGGGCCTCCCTGCCTTCCTTTATGATCCTGGCTGCTTTGGCGCCCCCTGCAGGAGCTGTAGCAGTCTCGGCGTGCGCTTTCTAACTCGGAAATTGCCAGGTAAAGAACAGGCGAATGCTCTTAGGCACCAAGTCTGCAGCAAGGCTGCGGGAGATGTCAAAAGGCCTCCTACTTTGCCAGCCAGGGACGTGGTGACTTCCATGAAGCTGGCTAGTAGGAAGTGACTGCTAAATAAAAGCTACAGGCAGGCATTAGGAAGGACATAGTTGCTATAAAAGACCCCAACGCACCAAAATAAAAATCAGACTGTAAACACCATACTAAAGCTCCACACTGTAAAGCTGAAACTAAGCGTTTTATCTGACCCTCCCAGGAACCAGGAGAAGCAACAGCCATATTCTCCCTAAATGGTCAGTTTCAATATGTCACCTGTCAAGTTGGGAGTTTAGGCCCCAGCCCCTTTAATCTATCCCAGCCCCCAGGCCTGGTCTGGACTCCAAATCCCAGCAGTCCAGGTCCTAACCCCTCCCTGGGGGTGGGGCCAAGACCCCTCCCCAGGGTATTTAAATGAGCTCCCAAAAGAGGAACATGGTGGTCCCTTTTCGTTCCTCCCAGTGGTACCGTTTTGCATAGCTTCCCGGTTCCCCCTCTGGGCCACCTGAGAGTGCAGAAGTCTCATTAAACCTAGATATTTCTTAATTTGGCTTGTTTTGATTTGGCTTGATTGGGAATCTTGCGTCGGCAGGGAGCTCGCGTTAGGAAATATTCCTAACATCACCTACACCTTAATCCTTAAACAGGAAGGTGGAGGAACCTCATACTCTCAGTTCCTTTTTCTGTTTTGTGTAGACAGGGTCTCCTATGGAGGCCAGGCTGGTCTCGAACTCCTAATCCTCCTGCCTCAGCCTTACAAGCATTGAAATGACAAGCACGTGTCTTCATACCTGGCTTATTTTTCTATTATTCCCTCTCTCCATCACCCGCTTCCATGCAGAGGCAAAGACCAGGCTGCTATGGCTTCAGCTTCTCCCTGTCTGGGAAACCTAATTCTGTTCTGTGGAATGACATGGTGCCTGGTTTTTGAATCTAAAATTGCACAATCTACAATCTTTTACTGGAACTGTAATTTTGTCCTTTGACAAATTACAATTACAAATTACAAATTACAAATTGCCTCAGGTTCAACGAGGGAGGTGTTTGCAAGTTGCTCTGGGCACAGTCTGGGCTGTGCTGTCACATCCTGGCAGAAGTGAAGGTTTTCTAAAGAGATCCACATTCCCTTCCCTTTCCCCCTCAAGCTATTGAATGAAGCAATGGTCCCCGAGGAACTGGAACTTCCAGTGTTCTCACATCCAGAGAAGGAAAAGGCTGAAGACTTAGGCCAGCAAGAAGAGCGAGCGGCCTGTCTTCCTCCAAGAATTCCCACAATTCTCTGACAGTTTCTCAGACCACCTGACAGGAGAGCCTGGAGCTGGGACAACAACCGAGCAAAACTGGGCCAAGCCACACTTCCACAGGACAGCTGGGTCGTGTATCTCTATTTAAGCCTAAACCTGAAGTGTCAGAAGACAGACTTGCTGCGCCTCTTTATTTGTTCCTCTTTTCGTTGTGGCGCGTTGAATCTCCTTTTATTTGTCTAGTTGTCGTCTTGAGGTTCCGACCCTAACAATTCCAGTAACAGTGGGTGCTTCGCCGTCTTCATAGTTCTTAACACTGTGAGGAAGGTACCCTTGCCCTGCCTGTCCTTCCTCCTACCTTCTCATAACATTTGCCCAAGGACAGCAGATACCTCTACATCCGGTATTAGGCTCAGCTCCATTTAGTTTAGGCTTAAGATGGGGAAACTCCCAACCTCATTAATGGGTTAGGTGCTTGTCGCTTGCTTAAAAAATTGATGCTGAAAGGAGCGCGGGGCCAGCGACCTCCTGAGCCGAGTGGGAACTCTGTTCACAATGCACAATGCCACACAAGCCCCTGAGGACGGGCATCCAGCCCTGATAACAAAAACAGTTGCCAATGCAGAGTGATGTAATGGCAAGAGGGTGGCTACCCCTTTCTCTCCTGAAGACAAGGAAATTCTGCCAGGGAACCCAGAGATTCCTTTGACCCTTCATAGTGCCCAGATCTTCGAGAACACAGTAAGATGCAAATGCCTTCTGGCAGGGCTACAATTTGCCTCTGGAAAAGGAAAAGATTTCTTTACCACAGACAAACAGGTCAGCTCGGAGTAGAGTACCACAGGAGACCAGATGGGGGCAGAAAAGGGAAGAGGGTGGTCAGGTTAGTTAGAGCTTCTCAGGAGCCCAGGACGCTTTAAAAGTCATCTCGTAGGCTTCTGTCATAGAAGGCGTGAGGATAATGACCCGGGAAATAGATACCTTGCAAGTCCCAACAGGGAAAACTTTCAGAGTGATGACATTCTTACCCTGCCTCTGGGTCACATCTGTGTGAACAAAGCCACAGGATGGGACCAGAAAGAGACTGAAGAAGAGGCAACTTCAGAACTAAAAAAAGAGATCATTCTGAGTGAGGTAACCCAGATCCAGAAAGACAAATATGTGTGCATTCACCTATATGTGGATATAAGCTGGTTAATTTGGTGATAACGAAATTACAATCCATAGACCCATAGAGGTCAGGTGCAAAGTAAGGGATGAGTAGGGACAGATAGGCCTCCCTAATGGAATAGAATAGATAATTATGGCTGGATTGGGGAGGGGGGTGGAAGGGGAAAATCAAGTGAAGAGGAGAGGGGGGAGGAGGGAGGGAATACATATGGGGAGAGTCAGGTAGAATTAAGGGCCATTTGAGGGGTAATATGGAAACCTAATACAGTTAGAAGCCTACTAAAATATATGCATGTATGAAATTGATCTAAAATCTCAAAATAATTGGGGAGACACCGTCCCAACTGGACTTCTCTTGTCACCAAGTGAAGCTCACTGTACCAGGAATGGTTTACCTCTAATTGAGTTGTGGGCCCAAGGGGTCCCATGGGACCCTCCAAAGAACCCAGGCTGTTGCCAAGACGATAGGCTGCTTTCCACAGACTGATGACAAGGTCCTGTTGCTGAAGACAACACTAAGTAACTCACTGAACATAGAGATGTGGAGCTGGTGCCTGCATGATCCTTCATCCCTGAGTTCTAGTATCTTTGATACACGTCTCTGTGCTGCTACCAAAGGAGAAGAGTAAAGTCACAAACCCTTTGATCACAACAGTGTCCTGCCTGTAAGATGCTAGTGCAACAGTGGTCCAAAGCTTGTGGGAGTAACCAACCACTATCTGCTTTGACTTAAGGCCCACTCCACCAGATGGAGCCCATACCCCACACTACTCGGGTGACCAATAACCTGAAACCAGAGACCTGAGGGGAACCAAGCACCACTGTGTTACTACAGAAACACAGCGATAAAATGACTCCTAAGGGCATTCTCCTATACTCAGAGGTCAGTGCCTTCTCAGCCATTGTCAGAGAGGCTTCCTCCTGCAGCAGACAGGAACAAATACAGAGACCCACAGCTGGACATATGCAGAAAATGAGAAGTCTTAGAACACTCAGCCCTAAATGGGATGTCTTCATCAAATCCCTCCCTGTCAGGGTCAGGGAACGCTACATAAGAGGAGGCTGAAACAGTGTAAGAGTCAGAGGGGACAGAGGACACCAAGAAAACAAGGTCCTCTAAATCAGCATGATCAACACATATATGATCTCACAGAGACCGAGGCAGCGCGCACACGGCTGCACAGGTGTTTTGGATCTATGCTATGACTTCCAGTTAGCGCTTTTATGGGATTCCTGGGAGTTCAAACAAGTGGGTCTCTGTGTGTATATCTGTTTCTTCTGCCTTCTCTTGGGCTCTTTTCCTTCTGCTTGCTTGTTTTGTCCTGTTCCAATGTGTTAGAGTTGTCTATTTTATTTTATTCTATTTTATTATTATCCCTTAGAAACCTGTTTTTTTTTTTTAAGATTTATTTATTTATGCTGTATCCTGCCTGTAGGCCAGAAGAGAGAACCAGATCTCATTATAGGTGGTTGTGAGCCACCACGTGGTTGCTGGGAATTGAACTCAAGACCTCTGGAAGAACAGTCAGTGCTCTTAACCGCTGAGCCATCTCTCCAGCCCTTTTTGTTTTTCTAAAGAAATAAAGAGGTGGATCTGGAACAGAGACTGCATGGGGAGGAAATGGGAGGAGTAGAGGAAGGAAAAACAATAATCAGGATATGTTATGTGAGAAAAAAATCTTTTTTAAATAAAAAGGGGAAAGAAGAAGAAGGAGCAGAGGAGGAGTAGGAGAAGGAGGAGCAAGAGGAAGAGAAGGAGGAGTAAGAGAAGGGGGAGGAAGTGGCATTCTTTCTAGGTGTGGTGGTGTTTGTGTTTAATCCCAGCATTCAGAAGACTAAGGAATAAGGGTCTCAAGTTCAAGCCTATCCTGGACTATTGCATGAAACCCCACCCTACCCCTAAAGATAGGATGCCCTAATGGGAGTGGCAATATGTTATCAGCACCGCTGCAGAGCTGCTGCAAGGAGATATAAACAAGCAAGAGTCCTTTCAGGACTTGGTTTGCTGAACTCACTTAGGAGCCAGGAGGAAACACTGCCAGGAAAAGGCACTGGGTCAGTGTGCCAGCCAAAGGCAGCCCAACTTAGGTGAGTCTCGAGAGCATTTCCCGAGCTTCTTTGATCTGAGACCATGGGCTTGTACAATACTTGACATTCTTTACAATATAAAGAACACTGGACTAAGAGTTAGGAGAGCTGGCTGGGGCTCATGCCCCAGCTGCCAATGACTTACGTGACCTTGGGGAACTCTCTTCACTTCTCCAGCCTTTAGTTTCTTCTTCTATAAAATACGGGGATTACCAACACACTTTCAGTTCTGGCATCCTGATTCTGAAATATATGCACTGCCTTCCTTGCCCTTAAAATAGAATTTATTTCAAAAGCAGATGGCCCAGGCACTGGAAAATGGTTCCTGGCAGTCTCACGATTCCTTTCAAGGATGTACCTTCAGAGTTGTATTTATAAATCCCTTGAAGATCAGTGGACCCTTGGCTAAAGCCCAAGTCAAGCTGTGCTAATGAAATTAAATAAATTTCAAAAAATGAAAAGGACTATAAAATTAAAAGAGTTAATTTCAGGCAACCTCTAAAAGTGCCAAAAAAATACTTTCAGAAAGTTTACGCTGTTTCCTCTTTTACCCAACCCCTTGATACTTTCAGACTCGTAACTTGCCTGGTATTATTTATCTCCCCCAACAACTTGCCAGGTAAGCAGTATATTGACTATCTTTTACAAATGGGAAAGCAGACACAATGGTAGTCATTAATTTGGGCCCACAACATGGAGTAAGAGGAGCAAAACTGAGGTTGGAAGCCAAGGTTCAAGACTCCAGGTCCAGAGTTGTGTGCTTCATACCAGACACAGCAGAGTGCAGCACCAGCAACTGTACTCAGATGAGTGGGCAGAAGGTGCGGAATCCAAGGTCGCCCTTCTCCTCTGAAACAGGCATTCCCACGTAGGGAGGAGGCTGAGACTGAATGAGTACCTCAAATCCGTCCTACACCACTAGAGACCAAATAAGCATCCCGATTCCCAGTTCTGCCTCGGCGAGTCCACTCAGTATGACCTTTCCACCCGAAGTCTCAGGCTTTGCGATGGTACCCGTGGTCTCACCCCACTTGCATTTTCAGTTTATCTACTTCCCCAAACTCCCATGGGAACAGAGAAACAAGAGACACACAGAAAAGGAAATGCATTTGTTGTACAATAGGGTGGTGCGGTGAAGGATGCACCCAGCTGAGATGCTGTAAGAAAAGGAAGTCTCTGTTCCTGGGACTGATGAGGCAAACTGGCTAGAATGGTCTGGGGGCTTCAGTTGTCAGTACCTGGAACTGGCTTGAGACGTTACCTTATATACCTATTCTCAGAGAGGTGTGTGCCCTGATCTCCCAAAGCCAGGCCTTCAAGCAGGGCATGGGAAAAGTGTAATTGACAGGCAGCCCAGATGCAGTCAGCCCTGGCATGTGACAGCTGAACAGAACCAACAGCTAAGCTCGGCTGGTTTATCTTACCTAGGTGCTGGGCCACCCTCACCTCAAACTTTTCTTTTCTTTTTTTTTCTTGAGTACCAATTGGAAGATAACCAGAGTCGGAAATGTGGTAAGGAGAGAGCTCAAAGCAGGCTCCACTGCCCAGTGTCAGGGTAAGTATACAGCAGTGGTTCTCATCCTTCTTAATGGTGTGTGTGCCCCTTAATACAGTTCCGCAAGCAAAAAATTATCTTCGTTGCTACTTCATAACTGTGATTTTGCTACTGTGAATTCACTACTATGAATCGCTGTGTTAATATTTGCTATACAGGATATCTGATATCTGACTCCTGTGAAAAGGTCATTTGATCAGCAAAGGGTTCGCGACCCACAGGTTGAGAACTGTTGGTACACAGCCTTCTTGTACTGCAGTGGTGAGGGCCAAGCGCAGGACTCATACTCAGAGCTCCCGTGTTTGAGTCCATGCTCTCTTGATTAGAACTCTGCAATTGTGGAGGAGTTGGGTTAGCCAACACCTCTCCATCTTCACGGGGCAAATGCGGAGAAAATGCCTATCCCAAAGGCATGCTGTGGGGATTCCTCACATCACTGCCCAGGGACTTTGTTACTGCCAAGCATTAAGTAAATGTTATTTATTATCACGACTGCCTTATCCCCAAAGGGTCTTTTTTCCCTTTTTGAGTTGGGAAGTATTGAGCCATGCCATGATGGATGTAGTGGCGAACATGTTAAACGAGTGCTAGGAAGAACTGGCTAAGATAAATGCCCCTCTTTAGAGCAACCATTACCAAGAGTGGTGATGAATGCCAGAGTTCTCCAGGCTGATACTTCCCCTGGCAGGCGTTAGTAGTAGAAGCTCTTTCTCTAGCTAGCAGAGCTCAGCATCCTTCCCTGTCTTGGTTTGGTGTACTCCCAGAGCATAGCTAAACTCACAGATCTCAGTTTGGTTTTTTATTTCATCTTTAATTTCAGAGAATCGCCACACGTTTTATTTCTGATGCAGAAAAGAAAATGGATTCTACCGAGGAAATCATTTCCCTGCCTTTCCAAGGGGCAAAAAAAAAAGAAAAAAAAAATGGAAACGGAAAATCTGACTTACAAATCCTGCACAGTGTTCACAGAAGGTCGGCTTGAGATAATTCATCTCCTGAAAATTATGGATAAATCCTGGTCCCATTTTGCAGTGTAGCTGGGATTTAGCTCGCAGAAAATAGGCCATCATTTCATCTTTGCTAATTAGGCCATCCCTGTTAGGAAAGTCAAAGAAGAGAAGAATCTGTGAATACCATATCACTAAGTAACTGCGACTCTCTGGTACCCACCTCCCAAGCATTTGTGACCAAAAGCAAAAGAGAGATGTTCACTTTTCTTAAACATTCAAAAGGAGGATGAGTCTCCAAAGACACATCAAATATTCAAAACCTTCTTCAATAAGTAGATGCTGTGTGTGCGTGCGTGTGTGTGTGTGTGCGCGCGCGCGCGTGCATGTGTGTGACAGCTCTCAGACAGTCTCCTGAGATTGCTAGAGGCAGGATCGCCATTTCACACTGAGGTAGAGCTAAGAGTGACTGGCCATTTTGCTTTTTTGACCTTCAGGTTGAACCCCAATATCTGCCTCAGGTTTTTATTAGTTGTGTTACAACTAGCAATAAGGTTGAAATTGCTGCTTTCACTTTCAACTTCATTCAGCCCAATTCATTGCAGGCTGTTCCCCCAGGGACCTTTGCATCTGTGTCCTCCAGATCCACGGCTTATCTAGAGCAAACTCTGCAGATCTCATCTCCACAGAAGGACTCCCCTCCTCCACCTATGTACTCTCTGCTTGTCACATACCTTGCTTGCTGTCACTGGTCTTTCAGTAAGGGATGGAACACAAGTGACACAGGCAAGTGCCAAGTACAGAGGTCTCGCCTTTCCTGCCCTGCTCAGGCTCCCCTTATCCTTCCTCTCTTGGCTCTTCCTATGGCATCAGAAGGACTGCTCCCATCCCTGCTCTCCAGGCTCCACGGACCTCTGCTCTCTCCCAGGCTCTGACCAATCTTCTCACCCATTTCTTCGGTTTACAGAGAAGTCCAATGCTTCCCTTCTCCTCTAATCTCATTCCTTGCGGCAGCTGTCTTCCCCAACACCAGTCTTTCTCTCTTACCAACTCCCCAAAACATCACTCATTAGCATTTTCTGTCACCATGCTACAGCACCAGTCAAGTTTCTCCCACTGCCATCCCACTAAACTGTCACTAAGGACAATCCTCAGTGGTCTTCTCTTGTTTTTTGAAAACTCTGACCTCACGACGGTGTGTGACACAGGGGCATTTATTTGTTGACATCTTCTCTCTGGAGCCTGCACTTCTGAGCCTTGTTGCTTTACTCTTTCCTCTCCTGCTTCCCCTTCTCTGTCTTTTCTGCAGAATTCCACTTGTTACTTTCATTGTCTATGAGTGGGAAGGGAAGTCCACATATTTCCTTCTGGAGACCCGATCTCGTCCCCCCACCCACCAAATTTCCCACCAGAAAAAAAATAGTGCACTGAGGTTCCAGCAACCTGATAGTGTTGTGGGGCTGAAAACGCAGTGTTCACCTCCAACCCTGGCTGCTCTCACACATTTCAAACTGCATCTTCAATAACTGGCTACACGTCTCTCCCCGTACACACCCCTCCAAATCAGCATAGCCTGCCAAAGTCCCTGTCTGACCTCTCCAACTCACATGACCACAGGTTCCCCTGTTGCCATGAATGGTGTGTCATAATTGTACCCCAGACTTAAGGTCCTTTTTGTCATCTCATATGCAAAATAACCTGAATCATACTTAGAATTCATAAAATTCATTCATTTAGTATCTTTCCCATCCTTGAAAACATGTATCATACAATTTGTACAGACTTATGCATCAATCACAAACAGACACAAAAGTCTAATTTGGACTACATTCATTTAGGAAGACGTGTGTGTGTGTGTGTGTGTGTGTGTGTGTGTGTGTGTGTGTGTGTATACACACACAGAGATGTAGAATCACTGAATCATACATGCCCCAGGGATCCACTTACTATACTGTAGGGCAACTGGAGTTTAACCACCAGGAAGTAACCTGGCTCAGGTCCTTTCCTGGCTCAAGAGACAGAGCAAGCAGGAGCTTGCTGAGAGCAAGCATCCATCTATCCCATCTTACATTATATAGCTCTCCTGATAAAAGGTTGGCCCTGGCACTGGAGCTTCCAGTTTCCCACAGCTGTGATACAAAGCACTCAAAGATCAAAGGGCTGAAAAAACTTCTGTGCCTGTCTACCATGCATTCTCTCACATGCTAGGAATTCCAGGAACCAAGATGTATGCAGAACCACAAGATGGAGGGAGTTTACCCTGTGAGTTACTAGAAAGAGGAATGTTGGCTAGTCAGTAGGAATGCTGGACTTAAATAAGTGGAAAATTCTACACAGCAGTTCTTCACCTTGACCTTTATCCTTTAGTAATTTTCTTTATTTTGAGACGTGGTCTCACTGATCAAGTTGTCTAGGCTGATGTTGAATACTTTCTCTGTGGACCCAAGCAGGCCCCAAGTTTGTGATCCTCCTGCCTCAGCCGGCCAAGTAGCCTGAGCTACAGGCATCTGCCCTCAGGTTGGTCATTTCTATTTCTCTTGACGGGGGTTTTGGAGTTGGTAGCAAAGCAGTAGAAGTATTTACAGAAACTGAGAGCTGGTTCATTTCCAGACAGGCACTTATGCTTAAGAGAGATGTGGTTTGCCTTGTGACAGTGCCCAAAAGGTTAGGTTTAGGGACACCATGAAAAACGAGTGGAAAGTCAGACTGTTCTATCAGAACAGTCGGGCAAAGCTTGTCGGGATGCAGGATGCAGGTTTGCCTGTCCCACCGCATAGATAAACTGCTGCTTTAAGCTAGATCCACTAAAAATGAAAAAAGAATGGAACTCACTGGTCTTTGTCTAGCACACAGAAGGAATCCAGGAAGGGGAAATTGGCAGCTATACTCTCAAAGTCCTCTTGGGAGATGTAGCCATCGTGATCATGATCGTAGTTTCGAAACACAGACTGCAAAGGAGAAAAAAACTATTTACCATGAGTGCGCATAGCTCAGCCATTAATCTTGTGAGCAACAGTATGTGGATTGTACACTCAATCAAAGAGCCTAGAATCTGGTGGGGGATCTGTAAACTCACACTTAGTTAACACCATAAAACAGTAAGTGGTTACTGGAGGGCTTGGAGGTTTGAATTTAGATAAAGAAAGATTTCCTGGAGATAAAAAAAAAAAAAGTCTAAACTGAGACCTCAGGGTTGAGTAGGAGTTAGGCTGTTGAGTTTATTCATTACAATACTATGAAAATGGAAAATGAAACTTTAAAAATTTAAATAACTTCAAAAAATTGAAAACGTGTTGAATGTTATCCCCCTAAAAATTGAAGTAAGGATTTTTTTAATTCATATTGGGAAACAAGAAGTGTTTTCAAATGCACAAATAGATTTTACAGTTCAAATCAAAGTCAGTGTACAGGCTAAAAATCATTCAGAATGGTAAGTGAGACATGCGGACTCTCCCCTTTAGAAGTCAAGGATTCTAAGGGTCTACTTAGCGACAGAAGAGACAGTTTGAACCAAGAGTCCCCAGATACATGCAATGTCAAAAAACATTTAGCTGGACCCACCTCATCCTGCAAACCACCCCCCTCCACTCAGAAGAGAATCTCAATTTCCCCTCCTTCCCTTCTCTCCTCTGTCCTTCACCATTTCATTCCCATCAATCCAATCCGAATTCCTTGGTGAAACGCTGGCCCAGTTTGGATTAAAATGCTTACTATTGGTTTAATCAAATTAAAGGCAAGTTTATTAAAATCCTGTACTAAAATTTGTTTTACAAAATTCTTGTACTCTATAAAAAAATATATGGATATTCAATGACAAATATTAGATACTTCAAAATAGATAACCTTTAAGCTGTTTTGCTAATGAATAATAAGTATTGAGATGATGAAAATGTGGTACACACACAACGGGAAAAACTTTATTCAGCTGTTTAAAAAAAGAAATTTGAAACTTTCAAAAATAATGGGTGGATTTGGAGAGTATTATATTAAATGAGGTGACTTAGATCCAAAAAGAAAAAAATCGCACATTCTCTCTCATACATGCGTATGTTAGCTTTGAATGTTTCTATGTGTGTGTATAGGACTATGTGGGTATGGATGTAAGCTGAGGAAATAGAAAGAAAAGCATGAGAGGGAAATAGGAGGTGTTAGGAGAACAACGGGACATATGAGACAGAAAGGAGGTTAGTGGGGGTGGGAGAGTTCCAACAGAGACGGGGGCTGGAGGACAAGAAGAAGCCAGGAGAACAAATAAAAAGAAAATTGTTTGACAATGTCATAATAAAATCTAATAGGTTATATGTTAATTTTAAAAGATGCAAGAAAATGAGAGAGAAAGGGCTGTCAAGAGAGAAAGGAAGGGGGGAGGAAGGGAGGGAGGAAGGAAGGGAGGAAGAAAGAAAGGGAAAAGGAAGATCTCTACCTTTCATTTTTGATGTTCTATCATCAGAGCATCCTGATGTGCAATGGCCTCCTTGGGTCCTTCTGGTCCCCAAACTCTGTTCCTCTTTGCCCTGGATTGTACAGACTTCTTAGTCCCTTCCCTCAGCAAAAGTCCCTTCCACACCACCTTCGTGATTATCATTGGCTTGCTTGGGTTTTCTGTTTGCTTGCTTGCTTGCTTAGATCTATTTTATTTTTGAACTGTATGTATGCTGGTGTGTCTGTGTTCATTCACGTGCATTCAGGTACCCACAAAAGTCACAGTGGTGTTGGATCCCCGAGCTGGAGTTACAGTTAGGGTGTTAGCCACCCAGTGTGGGTGTTAGGAATTAAATCCATGCCCTGCAGAAGATCAGGGAGTCTTTTAATCACTGAGCAATCTTTCCAGCACTTAACTTACTTGTTCTTGAGCTAGGATCCTGTTGTGTAGCTCTGGTTGCCTTTAACTCTCCTGCCTCAGCCTCCCATATGCATTGGAATACCTGGCCCTTCACAGTATGCCTTTTAACTATTCCTTTATGCCTCATACGCAACATAAAACTTCTCTCAGAATTTACCAGATTCCTGGGTTTTCCAAGATGAAGAACATCCTTTGCATTCTTCTGAAACATCTCTTTCCAGCAAAGATCACTATGTATACCATTGATACTCTGTCTCATAGAGTCAGCCTTATTATAATAGATGAAGCACCAGTCTATGAAATCGGGGGTTTAATCAATTACCAATAACAGAGACATTCCCACTTCTTCCTCCACATTGCTGCTTTTTCTCTTCTGTTCTCTCTCTCTCTCTCTTATCCTTTGAGGCAGGGTTTCACTGTAGTCCAGGCTATCCTCAAACTCACCATCCTTCTGCCTCAGTTTCCCCAAGTGCTGGTATTACATGGATACACCACCACACCCAAATCTGTTTTGCCTTCTACATGGAGAACTCTGAAAAAAAGCCTTGACTTGGATTGAGTGATTTTTCTGACCTTAGTAGAACTGTGTGACTGTATCATTAAACCCTCCTCATATACAGCCGGTGAAAAAGTTCAGCTCACAGGGTATTTCCCTGATCTGAAGTAACAAACTCATCTGGAGTGGATTTTCCAAGAATAATTCTAATCCCTAATGTCCTTCACGGCAGTGATAGAGCTGGCAAATGGCCAAGAAGGGAGCTGAGAATACTTGAGACAGAAAGGTACTTTCTGATAAATTCTCTTGGGGGACGATGGAGGAAGCATGGAGTTTCAGTTGAGGAACTTGTTTGTCAATCAAGCTCAATTGTTCCTATTTGCTGTTTTCATGGTCATCTGAGTTCTGGACAATCATAGCACATTCAGGAAAGAGACGGAGGCTTTCTAGAGCGTTCTACTTACTCTCCTTCAATTACGTACCTCCACCAACTTCCTTATGTGTTTGTTGATGATGGTGGGGTCTGGCTTTGGTATCACCCCTGAAGCCCACTCCAGGGGCACCACAGGCTTGTTGGGTGTTGTGGGGGACGTAGGCTGCTGAAAGAACACATGCACACATCTTTCACTATTAGCTGGACCTTGATCCACCAGGAGAGAAAATGTAATATATGAATAGCAGTAAAGACCTAAGTTTATATAGTGCTCAAGTGTTTACTTGAAACAGTGTCTCACTATGTCACCCCAGTAGGACTGAGGCAACATAGACCAGATTGGTATTGAATTTTTATACATCCTCTTGCCTCTGCCTTCTGAGACCACCACAGCCAGATTTACACGTTTATAAACCAACATCTTTTGTTAATAGAATCTAACCAGTAACTCAAAACATGCCTTCCCTTAGTTTGGGCTTTTTGAAACAAAGCCCCTTGCTATGTAGCCCTGGAACTTACCATTCCATTGCCTTAGCCTCTGAGTGTGAGTCTTCTGGGCGTGTACTAGCACACATGGCTAAGGATATGTTTTGAGATGCTCTTTGTTTAATAGCCACCTCCATTCTATTCTTTTAAGTAAATATATATATATACACATATATTTGTGCATATATATGTATACATACATGCATACATATACATATATAAAAACTGTACTCCTAGATCACTCCAATAACCCATCCAGGTTCACTAACTAGAGAATATCATCAGACCATTTCTAAAGGTTTACATGGTAATGCAACATGGACTTTTACATATGTATATATGTATACACACATACATACATACATATAGATTACAATTATCAAGTCAACCACAGTGGCACAGGTCTGTAATTCCAACACCTGGGAAACTGAGGTCAGGAGTTTGAGGCCAGACAGGTTTTATAGCAAGATCCTGTCTCAAAAGCAAAAGCTATCTAATTTTATCTGTGTTTTACACAGTTTGTGTTAGTGATCAATTTGCATTGAATGCATACAACACCTCGTAACCAACACATGGCCAAGTTCCTGTCCTTTCACCCATGCTTTGGTTAAGGTGCTAATTTCCCATCCAACTGTTGTGTGAATGCTTGGGTCTCTCTGTCCTCTCTCTGGCCACTGACTTCTTTGCAGGCTTTTCCAATAGTGCTTGTCTGTCTTATAAGACATTTTCTCTTAGTCACATGGGGAATGTGGTGGCAATAATACACAACCCGAACAAGACACACAATCTAATCAGGAGTCAAGCTAAGGCTGTTGTACGGTTTATTGGCTGCTCTCTGTGGGACCCTCATCCATGGGCAGTGTTTCACTGGTGCACACAGGCAAATCTGTTCTGGGACAGGCAAATCTGTTCTGGGAGGCTCTTTATTTGATCTGAACTGGGAATACTTTTTTTTTTTTTTTGCAAGAGGATCTGAAAAACTCATTTAAACCCCAAACAATGATGAGGTAGGTGCTACTAGTGGGCAGTTAGCAAGACCAACACCTTTACACAATTTGCATAGATTCATGTCCACACTCACAGTTTTGCATCCCTTTCTTCTCACACCATGGCTCTAGGTGTATGAATGTGTGTGTATGCATGTGTGCAAGCATGTATTGCATGTGTATGTGGACTCTAGAGGTCAACCTTAGGTGTCTTCTTCAACCACTCTTAATCAGATAGTTTTTGAGACATTGAAACTTTCTTAAACTACTTTTATGGGACATGAGGATGTCGTTGTGCTGTTCTCGTTGATATTTTTGTTTGTTTCTGTTTATTTTATTTTATTTTTATTTGTGTGTATGAGTATTTGGACCTGCATGTATGAATGCGCCCCATGTATGTAAACCAAAAGAGGGCATTAAAATCCCTAGAATTGGAGTTGCAGGTGGTTGTGAGCCACCACGTGAGTGATGGCCACTGAACCTAGTCCTCTGCAATAGCAGCAAGTATTCTTAACCACTAAGCCATCTCTCCAAACCATTTATTTATTTATTTATACAAAGCCAGGAAGGATGTAAAGGATCTAGACAGAAACCATACCTAACACAGGATCTTAAATACTAGAATGACTGACCTTTTTTTCTTACTTAAAAAAAAAACATTTATTTATTTATTATGTATACAATATTCTGTCTGTGTGTATGCCTGCAGGCCAGAAGAAGGCACCAGACTTCATTACAGATGGTTGTAAGCCACCCTGTGGTTGCTGGGAATTGAACTCAGGACCTTTGGAAGAGCAGGCAATGCTCTTAACCTCTGAGCCATATCTCCAGCCCCTTTTCTTACTTTTTAAAAGTCTTTTGTGTAGGTGAGTTCTTAGAGGGGGATACAAAAGATAAGAGATCAATGATAAAACAGCATATTGATGATATTTTCCCTCCCTTTTATCATTTGATGATATGAAGAAATAATCCAGAAACACCTATAGAAATAAGCCAGCCCATTGGTCAAATGGAATAATGCAGATCTCTAAAGTTCTTCACTCTTAGGAACACAAAACACCATCGAAATGTCCAATGACAATAAATGACAAACAGTAGTGTTTAGAGCCCTGAGAGAAAAACAACACCTCCAAACTAGGTGGTGGTGGCTCACACCTTTAATTCCAGAGGTAGGTGGATCTCTGTGAGTTCAAGGCCAGTTTGGTCTACAGAGTGAACTCCAGGACAACCAGGACCATTACACAGAGAAACCCTTTCTTGAAAAACCAAAACAACAACAACAACAACAACAACAACAACAACAACAAACCATCAGTACCCTATACCTACCGATTTGGAATTTCTAGGCTCCAGCACCAGCGACAGTTTGTAAATATCATCTTCAGTGTGATAGAGGTCCAGAGAAAGCTATAACAAAATCAAACAACACGAATGATTATGTTAGACCATATTTCTTTATGTACATTACTGAAAGGTTTTCAAATTGAAGGCTCTAAGTCTCGTGCCCAGTAATCTGGATGGATGCAGGCGAGTTAAAAGATACAGAATCATGCAGGGGTGGGTAATAAAACTTTCAAAAGATAAAGTTAACCCTGGCATGGTCATCAGCATCAAGAAAAGCACAAAGAACTCCATTTTCTTGCAGTGCTGGTTGGACAGATCTTACATGTTCAGTCCTGAGTCACTGGGGGCGTTTAGATTTTTACAGGCTGCAGACTGGACAGTTGTATAGCACAGGACCTGATGAAAGGATCATGGAAATAAAGAATAAACTAGCTCAGATTCTATTGCTTTTATAGCACTGTGCAGAGTCCTGGTGACACCAAAGGGTAAAAAGAATGACTCTTTGCCCTTGAGAGTCTGGCAGTTAATTTGAACAAACAGAATTCCAACAAACGGCAGCAACGAAATTGTGTTCCCATCACCGTGTGTTAAGTATGAAGTGAGATATCCCACTCCAGTTGGAATTACAGGAGTTATTCTGGGAAAGAGGAGTAAATGCAAAGACCTGAGTTTGTCATCGGTGAACTCTGGAGCCCGGGTCAAGTTATTTGTGCTTCTATACCTGTGAAATGTGAATAGCTATGCAATTCTCCATCAAACTAGCTGCGGATCAAATGAAAGAATATGTTCAAAGTACCCACAAGGACTTGGCATATGGGACTGTCTCATGAAATGCTATTTGATACTGTTATTTTTGGTATATGTGTACTCGTTGCTATTACTATTACACACAAGGATCCCTGGAGACTGAAATGATCAGGAAAGATTCAGGAGGTAGCTGTGACCTGGAAAGAATTAGAGGAAGAAAAGGCCAGCACAGGCAAGGACAACAGCTCACACCAAGGTTGGAGAGTGTATTCAATGTGTAAACACTTTAACATGCATGCTCCCTGGCACCTGAAGCAAGTCATGAGGTTTACAGTAAGTCAAACAATTCCCACCTGTGCCCTTCAATGCCAGGAGACTCAATGAACCACACCACTCCATCAACAATGATAGAGTCAGCGCTATTGGCCTTTAGGCACGACAAATGTCCTCTAAGAACTTTTTGCTTTGTTTAAGAATAAATCTTCATAATTTGTGAGTATGGAGCAAAGAAGAAGAGAAAGGAAAAGAGTTGAAAAGACAATCAAGAGACAAACTATTGTTTTTTCGGATGCTTTAGCTTGAACTCCTTTACAAATGAAGTTGACGCCATAAAATCCCAAAGCATTCATTCATTTGGCAAATGTTTGGTCAATCCATAATATGTGCCAGAGGCCAGTCAGATCACTGCTCTAGCAATCACTCTACACATCACTTAAATTGAAGACTTTGTTACCGGAAGTTCTTTCCTAAGAAGAATAAAATTGACATTGCTATAAAACGGTCTCAAAATCCTACCAGGACCTGAAACCCTTGTTTGCTAGGAATGGACACTGTATTTACCTTTCTCTAAATGGTCATCACACCTGTTCACGCTAGTCAGGGACAAATGACTCCAGGAAGCAGCCAATCATTCAAAAGAATGAAACAGGACACACAAAAAGGATATTTGATGGGCACATTGGTAACTGTGATGATGAGTATCATCCGTTCTTCTGGATCTATTTACACCAAAGAGAGAAATCTCTGGGCAAAGCTGTGGGAGATTGTCTTAGTTGGCTTAATTGGGTGGAAAGACTAAGCCTAAATTTCCCTAAGCTGGGTCCTGGGCTGTATTAAGACGAGAGAAAGCTAGATACATTTCAGCCTATCATTCTTTGCATCCTGAGGGAAGACACACTGGGATCAGCTACTTCAAGCTTGTGCCACAGCGATTTTCTTGTTTTGATAGACTGGATCCTTGAACGGTGAGACAAAATATTTTTTTTTCCTTTTTAAAGCTGCTTTTCTCTTATTGTTTTTGGAGATGGAGGTCTCACTATGTAACCCCGATTGACCTGGAATTTGCAATATAGAGCAAGGCGACCTCAAACTCAGAATTCACCTCTTTCTGCTTCCTGGGATTAAAGGCATTGCCAGATATTATGGTGCAGCAACAAGGCAATAGCTGATACAGTACCACAATGACTTATTAGGAAAAAGAAGAATTCTGGTGGATGCTATTAGATTTTCAATCTTCTCTCTGTGCTGAAGCTTGTTAGGGTACATGGAAAGGAACATCAGCTCTCTGCTAAGGAAGCAATAGGGGGTGACATGGTCTCTGAAAAGTTGAAAGCAGCTGTTATTCAGGTATATTACATATTTGACTGTCTGACATTTGATACCAAGTTGCCAGCTCTGGTTTGTCAAAAGTCAGCAATCTGGAGTTTAATGGTCCCGGCAACAAACAACTTTCTTGTTACTATATAAATAAAACAGCCACCATGGGATGTTGCCTACCACTTGGTAAATCCTCAACTGAGGATGCTGCTGTGACCCATGCCTCATGAAAGCGGGTGGTTACATCTGGTTTTTTGTCTCAGTTGCACTTTGAGGGCTTGCATAGAGGATCTTCTAGAAATAAGAGAGAAAACCAAGTGCAGTCTTCCTTCCAAACTTCTTGTTATTAGGAGTTAGCTCCAGCTTTGAATGGCAAGCATGTTTCCTTCCTCCTGGCTTGCCTCCAAGTCCTGTGATGTCCAAATTCCATAATGACTGGCACCAGCATCCTCGAATGAGGTAACGGCAGCTCCAAGACATTCAATCAGAAATGCCCATAAGACACCATGAAGTTCACGAGATGCTCTTGTGAGTACCCTTGTTAAGTATTTTCCCATGGTAGATGGGCACATAACTGGCCCAGTGATGGATGTGATTTGGTCTTCTCCAAGTGTCTTCTTTCTTATCAGTGCTGTGAGCCTGAGCAAGCAATTAAGCTTCTTGATTCTTCCTGATCAGCATAGCTTCCAGTCAGGACCTTGGTAAAGATTTCAGTTTAATGGCTTTCCTTAGAAGGTCACGGATGCAGGCTTGGCATCTAGGCAATGTAGCAGCCACATGGCATGGTGCTTATCTGTGAACAGAAAACTGTCCCCTGAGCTACTGCTACCATTTCTGCCCTGTCAGTCACAACCCTATTTCCTCTCTCAGATCTCCTTGGGGACCTAAGGATTTTCCCTGTCTACTTCCCATTTTTAAATGAAATAGACAGCTTTTGTCTAACATATTTTGTCCCTGGAGGTTTCAGGCAATATTCTGGTCCACTGTCAGTTGCGTTTACTCTCCAATCCTGTCAGCACAGCTGGATCTAGAGTTAGACTTCATGTTCAATTTTGCTTATTATAAAACAAAACTCTGTCTCAAAAAACCAAAAAAATGCACTTGTTCATCAAAGTATTTATATTCATAAGTTTAGCAACCATTTTTTCCTTCTTCTCCTCCTCCTCTCTTTTTTATTTTCTTTAAAAAAGAGAGACTGTGAAAACACAGGGGCTTTCCAGCTATTTGCATGTGCTCAAAATGGTAAAAGTAACTGATGGGGCTAAAAATACCACGAAAAGAATTTGTCTGTTTCGTATGTTATGAAACAGAGGCACCCGTTTTGAGACCTCCTCAGTATATGTCTTGGGCCCTCAAGGGGAGATGCCTTCGTCAGATCGCCCCTAATAGGGAGAGCTAACTATCTAAATCCCAATAGTCTACCGCTCTGTTCCTCCACTCTTCACTTACCCAGGCTGTTCAAGGGACAAAGGACACCATAGGGAAGGTGACATGGTCTTTGCCTCATAAATTTTATTCTCTAAATAAGTAGTGAGAAGGGTTGGGGAAAATACTGTATAAATTTTCAGAAACACAAAATATAATATATGTTAATAATATGTCCACAGTAGAGAGCAGATGATCTTCCAGATCAATCAAATACAATCTGATACAATCAAATACAAATTTATATTTTAAAAGCGCCCTCCAAGGCCCATTGGTTAAAAGCTCCTACCGTGCATTGACTCTACTGTGATGTATGGGACATTATAAGGTGAAGCCCAGTGAAAGGTCTTCAAATCACGAGAGCATGCCTCCAAGGGAATTCTGGGACCTCAGCCATGTCCTCCTCTCTTCCCTGGTCATGAGATCAGTGGTCTCCTTTTACCAGGTGTTGTCCCACTGACGTGCAGCCTTGCCACAGAGTCAAGGCAGCGGGGCCATCTGTCAACAGGCTGAGGTAAACAAGTCTCTCTTTTCATAAACAACAATCATACTGGATATTTGTTATAGTGATGAAAAGCTGACCTAGTCCATTACCTAAGGGAGAAAGTTCCCTGCCCTTGCACCCAGAAGTTAGCCGCTTTTAGGCTTTTGGGGTATCCATAACTCTCAGTTCCTTCATCTTTGAAAAATGAAGGAACAGAGGGGGTGTGACATTTCTGTTTTCTCCGGAATTACAGGGCCCTTGTGAGAATATATCAGAGGGATACATGGGGAGTGTCATGGAAAGTTCCAGCCGTGGTCAACAGCCTGACGCACAGGGTAGGCATTTAATGATTGTTCATTAACTTGAGCTCTCCCTTTCTGTCTTCCCGTGTCTGAAGCACAAGTTGGTCACTAGAGAACACAGTCACTTGGGGCGACAACTTGACCTGGAGAAAAATGAATCTCTTCTTAAAAGTTATGCTTACGGACTTGCTCTTGTGCCTCAGACAGTTAGAATCGTGTGTTTCAAATCCAAATACGGATATGTTTCATGAAGGGGCCACTAGACTCTAGTGAACATGTGTGGTTTCTCAGGACTCATGTTGGGGACATTACTTCCCTAGAGGTCAGAAAAAAAATGGATGTGGCGTTGTGAGTAAAGCACATTTTACTGGATTGTGGGGAGAGGAGAAAGATATTAGACCTATGTAGAAACTGGCTCAGGTGCCGTGACCCCTCTGCAGGCCTGTGCTGTCCCAGGAAGTCAGTGCACCATGTGTCAACACCACAGAGATGCTTCTTTATTTCCATGCTCTGCCATTCTGTATTTCTAGATTCATAGACATTTAGACCTCAGAAATGACCACAGAAACATAATGAAAAAGGCAAAGTCAGGACGGCTTAGCACAGGGCAGGGCTGAGATCAAGGCCTTTCATCTAGAATTTTTGCCTTCACTCTGGGCTATGGAGACCTGCCCTTCAATATGGTTTAAGTAGCTTCTACGTTTTCTCTCAGTGCTTTTAAAAGAAAGAGTGGGCACACTTGGGCATCATTTCTTTTCTTTTGTTTTATTTCTAACAGAAAAGAATTGTTTCTTAGCTTTTATTTTTTTATTCAGATTTTCTATTTGTACTATTGAATTTCCATTTTAAAAATATTCAAACTTTTCCTCAAGACCTCTTTTTGATAATGTTGCTTGGTGCATTTGGGTTTTACTTTGTATAGAACCAGGACTTTGTGAATCTTAGACAAGTATTCTAGCATGGAGAGATCCTTCCCTTGGTTGACGTACTTAATACTCAAACTTAATGTCTCTACATTACCTTTTATCCCAGACTTCATATACTCTGTTCCTAGAACAAGTAATTGTTATCAAAGGACAATCATCATTGTCTTTTAGGTGTTTGAGACACGGTCCAAATGTGGGCACCTGGCTTCTAAAGTTATACGCAAGGTTAAGAATACAGCTTAGAGGCAGACACTTGAAACTTAGGGCCCACGGTGGCACTTCTTGTCAGACATCACCTGTCTGTCCTGTGGTTTGTTGCCTGGCTGTGGCAACAACTCTGGGCACTGGTTCATGGAAACATATTTACATGGCAAACGATTAATCAGCGCAGGTGCTTGAGTTATTGTGAGGCGGTGCCCCACTGGAGAATGCCTTTTTGTTTATTGCTTATCACACACACACTCAAGAGATCTGGGAGTTGATCACTTCAACGTCACGTTAAGAGTACAGTTAATAAATATTATCATTCTACTTAAGGATGTGTCCTTTGATATCAACTAATTGCTCTGGGAACATGTATATGAAGTCTGGGATCCAGGCTCCTACTCCAGTGCAACCATCCTAGGGATTTAGAGTGTCGGAGCCTTAGAGGAGCTATTGCTTTCATTTTCCATGGACATAAAAAGAAAACATCAATGCACCATGGCAGTCAAGTTTCAGATGCTACACTGTTGTGAAGCCAAATAGGGAAGTTGTACCTTCTTTTGTTTAAGCAAGGGTAAGAGAATTTGTTTTTGTTTCTTCCTCTTCGAAAAGAAGAGCCAAGAGAAGATGCGTTCTTCTATACACCTGCTGTGTTTAAAAAGCTCTAGACCTGAAGATCATCTAAACACTCTGCCACAAGTGTCACAATAAATAAATAATAAGAGTATCTGACACTCATTACTCCTAAATGCAGCATTCACTTTGTCTTCTGAGTTCTCAGTCATGCTAGGTACTGTGAAAAGTGCTGGGCATATAGTAAAAAATGAATGAATGAATGAATAAATAAATAAATCATGAACGGAAAGAAATTTATCTACTGCAGAATAATGCCTTGTACAGTTAAGGAAAAATGCAAAGTACAAGGATGAAACATGATAGATTCACCACCACTTTGGAAGAGACTAAAGAATACTCTAGAAAGTCTTTAAAAGTAACACATAATGTCCCACAGCAACAATTCTAGCACTTCAGAGACTGAGGCCAGAGGGACCACAAGTTCAAAATTAGCCTGAGCTAAATTGCATGACCCAGGTCTAAAACAAACAAGCAAACAACAGCAACAACAAAACCTGAAAACTAAACAACAACAACAAAAAGGAAGAAGGGGCCAGCAAGATGGCTCCGCAGGTAAAGGCACTCCTTGTACAAATGTGGAAAGAGAAAGCAGATGGCACGCCATTGTCTTCTGACCTCCACGTATGTGCTGTGGTATGCCCAAAGGCTCCCCCACCTCCCTCCCCGCCCCGCCCACATATGCCATGTACACACACATACATAATACAAAACGAAAACTTTTAAATTAAGAATGAAGATAGCGTCTTTGAATTCTCAACCAAAAGAGAAGCAGAAGACTTGAGGACCCAAGGAAAGAACTGATCAGTTGGGCAAGCATGCTGAGGGAGAGCAAAGGGCTACGGTGGCTCTTAGAGGAGAAAGACCTACAGAAGAGGTTCCTATGGACAGAGCTACGTTCATCTCAAAGAAGAAAAATGTGTTTGCTCCGAGGCTATAGTCTCAAATTGCACTCCTTATTGGTGTTAAGTTTCCATTTTCCTCATTCGTTGGGACTCCTTATCATGTCTTAACCCCTAAGCCGTTTTTTCACCAAAAGCGAACTGTTGCGACTTGTCTTTCTATGGCACTAGAGTTAAGGAGCAGAAGCGCTGTGCAGCACAGGCCCCGGCAACTCACAGTGAGCAGGTTGATCAAATCCATGTTAGGTTCTAAGTGGTGAGAGGCATTCTGCAGGGCGACCAGTTCACTCAGGGTAACGGAGAGCTGGTGCATTTTCACGATATTCACTTTGTTCTCTTCCATCCAGTCCGGGAAGATGACATGGACGGCTATCAAGTCTTTCAAGTGCACGCCAAGGATGGGGATTTTGAAGCCATCACAGTCGGCGAAGGCCTTGCGGTAATTGCAGTAATTGCCATTGGAAGAGACCAACTCTGTCATTTCGTTCCAGTTCTGGGAAGAGATGGAAAAGTAGAATTTTCAACCAACAGCTTTCTCTCCTGTCCACTCCCAGATTCTGGAAGATGTGACTGGGAATTCCTCAGCTATGAGGAGGAGGATCGGCTGCACCAGTGTTGATGCGGGGAACTGTCAACCAAGAAGAAGAAAAGCAGAAAGGAGTACTGGGCCTGGCTCTCTCGTGGGCAGCCTGCTCCTTTTTCCTCTGCTTACCGCTGGGCTGCCAGGGTTGTCAGACAACAGACTGCTTTATTCTTTAACCAATTTAGATCGTCTCCATCTTCATCTTCCTCAGGGTTAAAACAGAACACACCCTACTGCTACTACAGCCAAGGGTTTGTATAAGGGAAAATGTTCCTTTATGCTCGGTAAACAAAATGGTTATTTGATATGGTCTGCAATAAATATAGTAGAGAATATCAGTTTGAGAACTGACTTTTAAAGGTACATGCTTTTGAGTCTCTATACTCATCTGGTATCTTCCACATTTATTAGAGGGCCACTCACACAGCAAGCACCAAATGAATATTCGGTGATATTTACAATATATTCATCTTTGGCTAGGATAAGATTTTTTTTCTTCTTTTTTTAATTTATTTCTTGGAGAGTAGGCATTCATGGCTCAGCCTATGTCTACAGATCAGAGGACAGTTGCTGGGAATAAGTTCTTTCCTTCCACCGTGTGAGTTCCAGGGATCAAACGTGGCTCGCCAGCGTTGGTGGCAAGCATCCTCATCTACTGGGCCATCTCACCAACCTGGCCAGAACATTCTCATTGTCACACTTCCCACTAGCAGCAATCTGGTTTTCCGCGTGTACTCTGCCACAGGGCTAATCCCTTCTGGTTCAGTTCCCTATGTGTAGCTTTGTATTGCTTTAAGAGATAAAGGTTGCCTTTCCGTGTAATACTGGTCAGAGCACATTACCACAATCTGTACTGCTTGCTCGGAATTCCGATCAAAATCCGCCATACCTTTGTAACCTCTGAAGAGAGGTGAGAATGGGTCTCTTTGAGTCGGGAAATGGAGCTATGACTAAGGCCGCCAACCACTGCCATCAAGGTGTTAAAATTTTTTAGCTGAAGGAGTTTCTGTAATGAAAAAAAAAAGTTAACACCAGTACTAGTACTTGGTAAGGATTTTTAAAAGCTATTTCGAGTTTCCCAAATTGCAGGTGAATGCAAGCACAGCATTAATAACAAGAATCTGAGAAGAAGGCACATCAATTTGAGATGAAGTGAAAATTGAATCCTCTATGAAAAAAAAAGGTATCATATTTCCACAGAACACAATCAAATAGTCCTAAAGCACTGCTGTTTAAAAACAGCCTTGTAATGTTAGGGGAGTATGGATTGTTAACTAGACATCTATGAGTAGTTGAACTGTCCAGTGCTCTTCTGTTGTAAACACCAAAGTTCTCAATAGTATTAACGACTGCACAGACTCCCCAAACCCAGGGCTGAGTATAAGACACACCTGTGCTACATTGATGAACTTGGTGATGACTTCTGCCCTTTGCTGGGGACTTGGTTTGCTGAGAACCATCAGCTGGACCCACTTAGAGATTCCATTAAATAAAGCAATAGATCGCTCCAAAGTTGGGTTATTCTCCAAACAGCCATGGATGACGTAGCTCTGATAATCGGTGAACTGGGGAGAGGAAGAATCAGATTCTAAACTAGAATGGAGGTATCACAAAAGCAGACATTAGAGAGTTGGGTAAAGGGGGTGAGCTAGCCTTTCATGACAACATGGTGATTTCTTCCATTTCCCGTTCATAAAGGAGTCTTTCAAGTTCAAGACCTCTGCATCTTTAGCATTTGGAGGAGGGGGTAGGGAAACGGGAAAAATTCAAAGTTATATTACAGAGAATTCCGAACTTCCCATGCCCTCAGATCCATCTAGGCCATTAGCCTGGAAATCTTAAGGCAGACAGGATCAATATCATGCTGGGAAAGAACTAAGGTTTTCCATTTTTAGTTCTAGCAGTGTTGCCAAAGAATAAACACATTTAAGACACAATGACACACACTAAAGAACAGGAGGTTGATGGAATATAATACTCTCAAATAAGAATAAGCTTCTAGTATTTCAAGAAAAAAATGGAGATAGGAAAAAATAAAGTAAGAATGCTCTTTAGCAATCCAGACGTGCTTTCATGTTGTGAGGGGAGATACCGTCACCTAGGGATGAGCCTTGTAGCCTATCCTATACGAAGTTGAGGGAACCACCTTCCTTGGCCTGTCTGAGAGCATCATGACGGCTCTTTACAAACACGATTTGCTTGGTGAATGCATCAGTCTTTTAGGAATCTCTGCTTTTAGGCTAAAGATACAACTTCTAGAACATTTTCCCGGCATGTATGAGACCCTTGGTTCAATCCTTAGCATGACCAAAAGCTTTAAAAAAAAAGAAAAGAAAAGAAAGAAGGAAGAAGGGAAGGAGAAAAGGAGAAAAGGAGGAAGGGATGGAGGGAGGAAGGAAAATAGGAAAGAAGGAAGGAAGGAAAGAAAAGAAAGAAATCCATGCTTCTAATGAAAATCATCGTGTTTGCCAGCAATGGTGTGATTTACTTCAATTTCCTTGGAAGAAGAGTAATTTCTCCCGAGCTCATGAGATACACTGAAGTAACGGTTGATAGAACCACAATAAAGTAGTGGGTAGCAGCAAAGAGGCATCTTGAAGGGACTGCAGGAAAGGAAGGAAGGAGAACAGGAAGGGAGAAGGAATGTAGGAAAGGAATGAGGGTCTATCAATATGTGTAGGAAGGAAAGTCTATTGCAGGACCTTTGTCTCAGGGACAGAGGCCACCTTATGTTGAGAGTTCTTCAACGCCTGCAATTCTTAATTCTCGACCTATTTCCATAGGCAGTTGTGCAGATACCAAAATGAGTTAACCGTCCACTGCCTCTGTGCTATAAATAAAAGTTGCAACAGAACCATTCATTTGGAAGAGGTCACTCGAACTAAATAAACCTTGAATGGTTAAATCTCTGCTGAATATTTAGAAAAATCAGGCTTCAATTCTATGAAAGGAGACATTGAACGCAGTGACAGAAATATAGCTTCTGAGCCGTAAACTAAAGACAGGATAATATTTATATTTGGTTAAAAGGGATTGTTCCTGTGAATTGAGGGCACATTTCCAACAGAGCCCGGTGGCGGAGACTGCCAACACTTGGGAGTATGAACACACAGCTCTCGGGAAAGTTGGCACAGCCCATGTTACCCTTGGAAGAATAACCGTCAAGTTCTTACTGAGATCCTTCGAAAAGATTTATGCTCCAAAAAAGTGAGGTGCTCAGCCAACTCAATGGGCTCCAGATGGTCAAATAAGAGACAAGCCTTCCCCTTTTTCGATACTTTTTTCCTCTGCGTGACTCGCCTCATCCAGTCGTAGGAAGGTCTGTGAAAGGAGAGAGGCTGGTCGGTCAACGTGCCGAAAACGCATTTCACTCAGTGGAAGATATTAACCTACTGACTGTAACTCTTGGCCTACTGCCAGGAGCGTGTGTGAAATACATGCCCTGTCCTCCATATTTGAAGAGAAAACCACCCACCCTCTGCCAACAGAGCCCAGACTTGGAGTTGTTTTTTTGAGGCAGGATAGGTTTGCCATGGCCTATCCTGAATCTCTTACTTGGTATTCCTTGTGACCAAGAACGACATGAACTTTAAAGAAGAGATCAGGGTGAGGTCTATAAATTCGGAAGTTTATTGGCATCTAGGAAGTGAGTGATTCAAGATACTGGGAAACAACTGAGGCTGTGTTTACCACAGCATCGTGTGGATTAGCTGAAAAACTCATTATGAAGACAAAAGCCTAGATCTCACTTCCAGAGACTCTGAATTTACTGTTTACTGAATTTGCTGATTTACTAGGAATGAATCTGAATCACAGGCATTGTAAACAAGCCTCCCTGATGAGCCCTGGGTCATTCACTGTCAAGTAGTCTTGAAGAAGAATTCCAGGCGGATAGAATGCCGAAGATGCAAAAATAAGTGCTTTTGATGGTCGCCTGTAATCCTAGCCCTCGGCAAGCCAAGATGGGAAAATCATCACAAACTCAAGGACAGCCCAGGTTACACAGTGAATTCCAGGCCAGCTTGGGACAGAATAAGCATTTGTAATACCCACAACCATACCTAGGTTCATGAGAAAGCTTTTCCTGGGCAGAGTTAGCTGGTCTGCATTAAATGAATCTAAGTAGTATGAAGTCCCTTATTAGATAACCAGTCAGGATACAACTGTGATCAACATTTGTGTAACTACAGGGGAGCCTCTGAAGCACTGGGGTGCAGAGCCTCTCAGGATTGCCTGAGAGTATGCATTGAATGAGGGGGTCTTCTTAAGGTATAGATTCTGATTCAATGGGCTTAGGCGGGACCCAAGACGCTTTTCTGATGGGCTCCTAGGAGAAACCAGTGTAAATGATCTGAGTAGCTGAGTAGCATAGGAGACAATGGCTACGTTCTGACTTGAGAACTAAATACTCAGCATCCATTCTGTGCCTGAGACTTTCTTGTGTTTCCTTGTGGAATCCTTAAACATAGACTAATCCCGTTAAGGTACCATTTTACAGACAAACTGTAGCTTGGTGAGAGAGGTTGTGTCTACCATTGCTATAGCCATGTTCACAGTAGTCAGACTATCTCCAAAGGAGGTTCCTTATAGAACAGTAGGAATTCCCTCCTGCAGGGTCATCACTAGCCCCTCCCCAAAGGGGTGGACCCACAAAAACCGAAAGACTTGCATCGCTCTTACACGCTGGATATGTCCATGAGGCTGAGGTGCTTTTCATAGCCTAGTTGGCTAGCGACTTCCCGGAACTCCTCAGTCATACGAATCAAACCAAGATCCAAATTAAACTCGGCAGGGAATTTCAGAATCCAATACCTGAAAGGTATAGAAAGGATTTTTGACAGCTTGGAGATTTCATTCGGACCTCTTTAGCGACTATGGTACCATTTTTATAACCTGAACTTAACACGGACTCCAGTACCCCTTAGTTCCATCCAAGTCGTCGGCTCATATTCCCAGCAATTCCACCATGTGTCTTTCTGCTTCTTCCATGGAGAACCAAGATCCAGCAACTCTGAACTTCTTCGTAACTTACTACAGAGTCAACTGAAGGAAGCGCCCCCAAACCCCAATTCATGGTAATGTATATGGTGAGGGAGTAGAAACCATTGAATCCACTGGATCTCTGAACTGGTCTGACTCTGTAAGTCACTAGCCCCTATCTGATTTCTAGTCCATAATGTAAATTCTCCCCCATCCACCAGGAACAGAGAAGAATTAATAGTTTCAAAGACAGCGAGGTGAAGTATTGGCTGCTTTGAACAAGACAGGAATTGTTGACAAGTCCAGAACCCAAAGCTACAAGAAATTAAATCTGTAAGTGTGTTTACCTCATGAAATAGCAGACCTTCAGTCGGAACTCGTCACAGCATTCTCCCCTGGCGTTCTGATACGTAGGCTCATTAAAGAAAATGTTCGTATGTCTTCCCTTTGCACATGCCTAGCCAACACTGTTCCAACAATTTATCCAAATCCCAGGCAGCCCGAGTTACAGGCTGAGCAGCTCTAATTCAAAACCTTGAAATGCAAAATGCCCCAAACTCTGAAACTTTTGGAGAGCCAACAATACTAGGAAAAAACTGTCAACTCCTGAACTAATAAGATGCTATAGTCAAATGAGAGTCTATTTCAAATAGTGTAATTTTGGACCTGTATGTTATTATTATTGACATGTTATTATATATAGTAGATTTATATACTTAAGAGTACTACGGATTCTAGAAATAGGCTTCATCTAGCTTCCTCTGTGTGATTTTAGACTTGAGTCTGAAGCGGTTAACTAGGAACTAAGTTTGTGTACCCTGGATGTTTTTAATGGATTGTGATCCTTTAACCTCCTCCAATACACTGCATATGGCATTTGAATTGTTTAAGTTTCCTGCAGTGAGCCATGACTATTCCTAACATGTCAGTACAGCTATTCTGAAATTTGTCAAAACTCCAAGATGTGAAATGGTTGGGTTTCAAAGCTGTGGATGATGTGAACTCAACCTGGAGAGAGTCAAACGGGCATAGAAGTGGGGTTTGAGCACATGGACACTGAGGAGCCAAACTTGACTTGTTAAGCTTCTGGGATGTATTTTTGGTCTGATGGAGAAGTCACTTACAAATTAGTTCCACCCTCCTGAGTACTTATCAACCAACAACCACACACTGTGGTCACAAGCATGCTGCAAAGTATACATAATTCCCAATTAAGAGTGCCCAGAAACACCATGGTAGCCAAAAATATTTCAAATTTAGGATTGGTATTTTATATAACAAGCACTCAGATCTCATGGGTATTTGAAAACGTCACACTCAGGTACGTTGATACTAAGGTTGTGCTATTTGTTCCCAAGTCTATCCACTGGTTCTCCTAGAACAAACACCCCTATTATAACCAGACACAGTGGGCATGGAGGAGGTAAAGAATCCAAGGAAGAAAATGTCAGTCTTCAACGTTCATACCATCTGAAATTTCCCACATGCTCTAACAGGCTCAAATAGCCCTCTTTATTTGTGTTTCGTGCATTGACAACCACGCTAAGGGTAAGAATGCTGCTAGCACATGAGCTCTAGGGGCAGTATATGGATCATGTGGTCCACTCCCCCATCCTTCCCTACACTCTACTTGTCAGGGGTGGGACAATGGACATGGAATCTTGCTCCTTTCTAAGCCTGCTGCATTCAGGGTGAATGTCTTCTTAACCTCTCTAACATCCTCCTATCCCTTGGGCTTGTGGGAAGATGAAAGGAAGAAGTATGAAGTGGGCAGGCTCAGTTCCTTCTTGGCTCAGGAAGGCTTGGCAGGCAACAACAATGTTTGGGCAGACTTTCTAAGTCTCGGGCTCTCCCTTCCTGTAAGTAAACTCATACAGGGGCTCCTGGGCTAATATAAGGTAGAGATGTAAAAACACACTTAGAGATTATACACAAACACAGACCTTAGGAAATCAACTTCCTCAAACTCTGAGACTACTAGCATTATCATACACGCACCTTTTAATTATTTCTTAGGACCACATTACCCACAAAACCATAAGCAGCTGCTCACATTACAAAGTGGGGTTTTCAACTATGAGGAATTTTATTTTCAGCCTTGTACAGATTTTTTTGTTTGGTTGTGTTTGTCAATAAAACCAAAAATTAGCATCAATCAACAAATTACGGGGGTAAAATCCTTCTAGAACATTCACTATGTCTTACCAGTAAAGGGAAAATATGAAAACTGAGCTAGGTTTTGTTGTCCTCACAGAAGGAAAATATTGAATCAGTGTTAAATAATCTTTCGTTACACTAACAGTCTAAATGTTTAGGATGAGTTCGGAGCCTTCAGCCTACAACTCCTGTTCCACTTCACATCTTACTGACATATTCAAGTTCAGCCAAAACACCAAATATTTAGCTAACTATTCGGTCCATCATCCTGATGTCTCATCTAACATCTATATAGTCTCAAAACATCTGGATGACTGACCAAATAAGACCACTTATTTATTCATCTTAATTTACCGGCTTTAGATAGACTATCTAAATACAGAACTTGATTTATGGCTATAAACATCACACAGCAGTTGAAAAGATATATGCAGAGGAGTTTTTCTGCCAGTTCGGTGGAAGATAAATACCATCGGTGCATCAGCAGAACAATTCTTGGCAAATAGCTGTCATTCAATTCTCCATTGTCATCTGTGGAAAGTAAAATAAGAGGTGAAGAGATGGCAGGGTTAATCTCTTCTTCCTTTAATATCACTTGAGAGACTACAGTGTCAACAACCCATAAGCCCCGTTATATTTTGTAAGATTTATTTTTAATTATGTATATATGTGTGGGTATGTGCACATGAAGCCAGAGGTAGCAATGGGAGTACCATACAGTTGTGAGCCGTCAGACATGGCTTCTGGGAACTGAACTCTATCATCTTTAGGAGCAGCATGCTCTCTTAACCTTCAAGTCATCTCTCAGCCATCTCTCCAATTATCTTTTTTACCTCCAACGTCTGCTGGTATTTCCTTGCAAGCTAATGTAGATGGTGTCACCATTCTTCTGCTTTGCCACCGACAAATTTAGCAAAAATAAATTCAGGACACCCAAGTAAATTTGAATTGGAAATAAATAGTGATTAAGTTGTTAGAACAGATATGGGCTTGGCATATTTGAGACATACAAAAAACATGTTGATTGTCTGAAATTCAAATGTGAGTGATCATATCGCATTTATTTATTTGGGCAGGGGTGCTGTATGTGTGGAAGAGAGAGGACATCTTTCAGGAATTACTTCTCTCCTTCTACCGTGTGAGCTTTAGGAATCAAACTCAGACCAAGGGACTTGCTGACCACAGTCATTCTATATTTTATCCAATCGCCCTACTCTGGCTTACTTCTGATTTTCTATCAATTAAAGAAATTAAATTGGTAAACTAATTGAACAAAGCTCTCTTGAGTGACTCCAATGCTCAATGATAAAATAGATACACAAACAGCAAAACAAATGTGTGAAGCACAATTAATAACAACTCAGAGACTGATATTGAGGTTCAACCTGAAGACCAGAAAAGCAAAATAGCCAACCACTGGCTCTTAACTTGACCTCAGTATGAAAATGGCAATCCTGCCTCCAGGAATCTCAGAATGAGACTGAGAGCTGTCTCCTCCCATTTTTATAATCCTCTCTAGTTCTGGGATTAAAGGCTTGCGTGACTCCCACCTGGTTTCTATGGCAAGCTGGCATGGCTACTGGGATTAAAGGTTTGTGTCATTGCTGCCTGTCCTATAAGGCTGGCCAGTGTGACTGTTCTACTTTTCTGATCCTCAAGCAATAATAAATTATTGTTATTAATAAATAAATAAATAAATAATTTATTTATTTATTAAAATATAAGTGAAATGCCACTACAAAGGTGCATAGATATATATGAAAGATATACAAATGAAGATTATAGTGGGTTGTGCAGTACGTACACATACAGAGAAACCCAAGTCAGAACAAAGCAATCACCATTGTAGCGTGTACCACATGCATGCAAATATACACTGAGAAGTGGGAGGGTAGAAGTTAGCACCATTTCTGAGAGGTTATTAGGAATTATGACTATTTAGAAGGACAACTAATGACCTCGAAGAGAATTCTAATGAAAGGAGAAAAATATGGAAGTAGAAAATGACACAGGGAATATCCTAGAAGTAAGTAGATAGTTTATCTGGAGTATGAGTCATGGTCAGGAAAGGAAATTAAATACAGAAGCCAGTGGAACTGGAGAGACAGAATGGGTCCACCCTCTGACACCAAGGTATCGAGACGGAAACATATTCCAGGAAGAACCTGCATGTGAGCTGAAGCAAGCGGTATCCTCAAGATATACAAAGGAACCTGCATGTGAGCTGAAGCAAGCGGTATCCACAAGATATACAAGGGGACCAAGGAGGAAGGGGACACACCGAACATCTCAATGCACGTGTTGAGCAGTTCATCTAGCGTCGCTGCTTTCCCGAGGCCGCTGGACCCCATGGTTGTTTAGCCGTTGTCAAAAGCCTGGAGACATTTCCAGCAGGAGACAGATCATCTCCATAGTTGTAGCAGCCAGAGGTTCCCTCACCCTGTGGGAGCCTCTCTTCCTAATTATAGTGCAAGAAAACTCTAAACGAAGAAGAAGAGAAGGTTGTTTCAGACCAGATTTAGACCACATCCAAGGATGGCTTTCCTAGCTTGCTCAGGCCTGCCCAACTGCCATTGACTGTATTTTCTACAAGAAGTACAGACTGGCAGATGATCGCAATTGCCGTAAGATAAAACAGCTGGCTAGAACGTCCCTTAGCGTGCACTGGTATGTGAGAGCCCAGAGGTGCTCTGCCTTAAACACCATGCCTTTCTGCAGCTGAACAATTTTTTAAATGATATCTTGCACTTTCTTCTTAGTCTTACATAACGAGGCATTCAGGAATGTCACACACTTTACTCAGTTTAATGGCACTGCAGATGTATTTAGGGACATACACTTTGGAATACCAATGTAGTTGTAAGCCTCACCCTCACTGATCATGTATGTCCCACAACTACAAGAAAAGTCTAAACTTCTCCTAAACTTGCTAATAGCAATATTATCACTATGAGTACTTGTCTTAGGTACATTGTTATTGCTGTTAAGAGACACCGTGACCTAAGCAACTTATAAAAGAAAATATTTATTGAGGCTCATGGTTCCAGAGGGTTAGAGTCTATGACCACTATGGTGAGGAACATGGCGTCAGGCAGGGGTGCTCTGAACAGACTACAACCTGATGTACAATCCCAAGGCAGAGGGAGAGCTAGCTACAAATCTCAAATCCCACCCCCAGTGCCACACCTCTTCCAGAAAGGCCACAACTCCTAATTGTTCCCAAACAGTTCCACCAATGTATGAGCCTCTGGGGCCATTCTCATTCCAAACAACACTAGACGCTTTAGTGATATTCCCCAACTTTGTTGATGAGGCCTTCATAATGATGCTGGGAGGCAGCAATTATTATTCTCTATGTAGAGATAGACTTCACAGAGACTCAAAGTTTGATTCAAGATATCCCATCTTTCAGACCTAAAAGCAAAATCCCCATATTAAAACAAAACTTCTGGCCTCCCTTTCCCTCGTCCGATTCTCCCAGATGTGAATCTTGTGAGCTGTCACCACATTGTCCCCTAATCTAGTATTAAGGGCATTACTTTTCTACAGCATCTCAGAGAGAGGATGCCATCATAATTATTACTGTTAGGAAGACGACACCATCTTATTTCATCGAGCCAGCCTCTGATGCCAGATCATCATAGGACATAGCGCTGTAAAGCAGTATCCACTTTGAATAGTGGGGTATATAAATAAAGCCATTAGAGACTCTTCTGGAGAGCTGTTTGAGTCAAGGTTTATTTCCCTCTCCAGTGTTGTTTACTTTGACTGGCGGTCAATGAGCATCAGGCAATGTGTTAGAAACAAAAGCTACCCAGGTGAAGGAAGGAATCCTTCTGTCTTTGCCTTCTACAGGCTCACAGTCGGCTGCAGAAGGCGTGGGGGAAACAATGTCTAATGTCCAAAGACATGACTGTATTAATTCAGTGAAGTCGGCAAAGGATAGCATTTGGGTGAATCTATACACTGGGCATATATTGAGCCTATGGGCTTCATCTAATTCCAGATGAAAGAAAAGAAAATTTCTTGTCAATTCATTCTATACAGCCATGTCTTTGTGCCTAGGGTCCTTTCTGGAGGATAAAAAGAATGGCTTCCTGAGAACAACAGGAAGGGAACGCACACAGTTAGCAGAGGTGACTCTTCTACACCTCATAACAAAGGTATCTCATCAGCAAACATTTCCTGACCACCTACCTTCACCAAAACCACCTCTCTCCCCGTGCTACCTCTGGCTCAACATGCCTTAACTCTCTTCCTGGGTTCATTTTTCTTCAAATGCCTAAGATCATAACTCTCCATAGAAAATTCCTCAAAACATATTTAATGTTGTGAATGAGTGTTTTTATGAATAAATAGAGTAAAAAGATTGCCCAAAGTTTGTTCGAATATGTGCATATTTGGGAGAGAATTAGAGATCCCATGAATTCTTGAGAGGTTTTGGTTTTTTCCTTTTTCGGTATGATTCACTAATTTAAATTAACTTTAAAAATTCCTGTCAGTCTTTTATATTTAACAGGGCCCATCCATAGTCATAATAAGAATTTCATACCTTTTCTAGGACCTTCTGGGCAGCACTTCCCTGAATTTTCTCTAATGTAAGCTCCATTAGTGTATTTAAAAGTTGAGACTGAACAATTAGCTGGAAATAGCAGTTTGTGGCTTTAAGTGGTTTTTCAGACCAAACCCCAAAATGATTCTTGAGTTGTCTTGGAAGTGTTGAGTTCCCCACAAGTGATTAGAAAGAACCCTATACTAAAGACCTGTCACTGTATTCGGAGCTGTATTTGTGAGCAGTGAAGAATCTGGCTTGTAATGGGCCAAGTGCACTGGCCTATTGGGTTACAATCTGTTTCTGCAATCATTAGGCCTGTCTGTGTCTCTACTTATCCTTGTCTCCTGCACATTTACCTGTGATCACATTTCACTCATGTGGGCTTTATTGTGTCTATAAACGCATTTTCAAAAACAAAGATTCCACCTTGCAAAAACAATAGCATTTGTGTCTTAAAATGAATGGTAAGGAAAGACATTACCTATAATCTCATCATGCAAACATATAGCTCTCACTAATATCAGGGTGTGCTTCCTTTGTCCTGCTGGGTGTAGTTAGAGTTGCTTCTTATATAATCTTAACAGATTTGTTTTAAAAAGCACTCACAATCTATTTTCATACAGATAAAGTTCCCGGCCTGAAAAGATGTCAAGTTGTCATCCCCAGAAAGGGCATCAAGACTGAAGAACTGGTTCATTCAACTCAAATTATAAGTGCTCTGGAAACCCTGAAAAAGAAAGCAAAACGTCAGTCAGAAAAGAACCCAGTTAGTAAGTGGAAACTCTTTAAAAAAACCCACCTGATGCTGAAGCATCGCAAAGTTATTCCCTGAGGTCTATGTGATGATTGAGATTTGGTGTGAACTTTAACCTTAAGATCAAATAAAAGGGAAACTTATTCAAAATAGTCATTTGGTGGCATGATTATGTTTTAATCAGTTGACAGTTTTAAAATTCTGCTTTTTAGGGGCCTGTGAAATGGCCTGGATTGTAGTATTTTCTACAAAGGCTGGAAGACCTAAGTTTAACACTCTAGATCCAGGTAAAATTTGAGAGAGGGAAAAGGCTCCACAAAATTGATCTCCACACACATGCCATAGCATGTGGACCACCCTATCCCTGACAAATAATAAATAGAATTTAATTATTATATTTACCTTAAAACAACTCATATGTGTTTTTGTTTGTTTGTTTGTGTAATGGTCTGTCTTATCCCTTTAAGAGACAAGCTCCGCCCACTTCCACCCCCATCCATTGCCAAGGCAGGCAGAACTTCCTTCTGCTTCCAGTCTGAGCCCCTTCCTTTTCTGTCTCTCCCCTGAAGAGGTAGCTGCTGCCATGGTTCCTTTCCCCTGCCCCATCTGGTTCTCTTTCTTTCTTTCTCTCTCTCTCTCTCTCTCTCTCTCTCTCTCTCTCTCT